AAAAGACATATCGAAGGAGGCAACATAACGAAAAAAAATACAAAGCTAGAAAACAGCGATGATTCTGATCATTTGATATAATTATTTTATATTATAAAACTGTCAACACAAGCATTGATACAAAAAAATTATGTTATTTTTAACCTTTTTTCCATTCCTAAAAAGAGATTCTTTAAATTAGGGGGTCCAACAGACACGTGGCTTTTTCACAGGTTAATTTTTTTCACTTTTTTTTCTACGTTTCGAGCTAGTTTTTCTTTTTCTGCCTATCATCTGGAAGCCCTAACAAGAATTAATATACATTATAGCATTAGTAATTAATATCATTTATATTTTTATTTTTTTATTTTATGGTTAAAAACATCGACATTAATTACCTAGCGTTTTTTGCGTGTAAGACGCTTCCGATTGTCTCTCCCCAAAAGGGCATTACAAAAACAAAAAGATAAATTAAAATGCCTCTGTCCCGGCCAACAAGTCAAAGAAGTGTCTCTTGGACCCCCTAATTTAAAGAATCTCTTTTTAGGAAGAGAAAAAAGGTTAAAAGAAATATACATAATAATCTACAGACGTGGAATCAACTACAATAATATAAAGGAAAAATAATTGCCAAAATAGTAACACTAAATAAATAAACCTAGAGTTATTACAGCCCCTTTACACTATGGGCCATGACCACCATGTCACCAAGAAAGGCACCATGCCACGCTGGCTAATATATGGTCTAATACTTTTCCCAAGATTGAGCCAACATGTCCTCAATGGTCATAGTTGTTTACTTTTCCTTCATCGTGATGAACATAGAAGTCGAATTAAAGTTAACTCAATTAAACTATTATTTCTGATATTTCTTGTTTACTAATAAAATGGTCAAATTGATTGCGTTCATATATACGTAAAAAAGACACTTTTTAGATGGGTCAGCTGAATTTTGTATGGAACAGATAATTTTATAAAAAATATAAGTATTTAACCCATTAGAGTTCGTGGTCCTATTGACCAAATAACTTCTTTCAATTAATTAATCTTTATGTAAGGTTTTGGTTGAGATAATAAAGTCAGTGTGATGTGCGGGATTCGAACCCACGACCTTCGGCTAAATACGCCTAACTTCCCATCTCAACCCACCTTTCTAATTTTCCCTCCTTTTTGTCATTTTTCAAATGTCGTGTAATCTATTCGATTCTCGGCGACAAATGAAATGGCCACGGAGAGCTTTAGTGAAGATATACTTCGTTTTACTTATTAAATCCATTAGAGTTCGTGGTCCTATTGACCAAATAACTTCTTTCAATTAATTATTCTTTGTGTAAGGTATTGGTTGAGATGTAGGTATCTTAGCCGAAGGCCGTTGGTTCGAATCCCGCTCGTGACTTTTTCATCTCAACCAATACCTTACATAAAGATTAATTAATTGAAATACATATTTAATATTTTTTAATTTAGTTTTAAATTTTTACTGCTTTTTTAAAAGATTTGTTGTCAAGATATTTCCAAACTAGTAGAACTTTAGAACTTAGAAATTTAAAATAAAAGTATACATTTTTAAACATTTTTTTATGATTTTTGAACTAAAAACGGGGGCGCAATCATATTTTAAATTGATCAAAGAAGTTATGGCGCAGAATGACGAAAATAAATATCTTAAATTTATTTTTATTATTTTCATTAGCTGTTTTGGTGCTAGTCGGGTTTATGAATTTTTTGGGGTGATATTGATGGGTCTGCTAGCAGTGGGCACGTTTTTAGTTAATAAACGTTGTGTTTAAAAAAAGGTACTACATCTGTATTTTTGGTTTTTCGATAAAGTTATCTGTTCGAGATAAGATGGGCCATCTAAGAAAAGACACCTGTGTTATCCTAGATGTGTTATGAGATCAGCACTGCTTTTGGAGATCGCTAGTACTGTCTCAAACTGAAATTAACTGAATTTTTGCTTATACAGCTTAGAAACATAACGTAATACTTAGTATAGTCCGAGGACTGTAAGTTCACATAACATGAAATCGTTAAATAAAGTAGATAAACTATTATTGTATTAAATATATAAAAAGAACTTACTTTACGCAATGGTATACTTAATTGAAAAGTTTAACTTCTTATCCAGAGCCCTGAACGATAAAAAAGATTTTTATTTGATCTATTTGTCATGAAGGATGCAAGAGATTCTGAGACATAGTCTATATTAGTATAAATAATCACTAAAACTAATAGAAATAATAACAACTTTATGAAGATGAATATGACAATATATATTTTCACCACATAGCCACAATTCGGAGACACTTTCGACGAAACAGAGGGACAAGGGAAAACACAATAGGGTCATGATTATTTCAGCGACAGCATCCTCCGGAAAAACACTTGGGATAATACGGCGGAGGATAGCAGCACATCATTTGCGGCGGGCAGCAAGGTTGGCACGGCGCGCAGCAAACGGGCGGGCACACTTCCTCTTTTTTATCGTCGCGTTTCAGCTCGAAATTTTGCATGTAGGACATTTTGTAGGTCGTGCGGTCGTCCATGGGATGGTATGGGTCGGTGGCTTTGGGTTTCTCCTTGCACTGGCACCTCCTCTCCACGTAAGGGATGAACGTGGCGTCGCAGAAGCAAGGGCCTCCTGTATTCGTATCGCAGAAACAACCGTTCAGATCGTGGCGTTGCCGGTTTGGCTCTGAGCAGCAGTTACAGCAGCAAGCGCAGGGAGGTTTCCTAAATCTTGCTCCGTTATCCTTACAGCAACAAAACGCATCTCCATTGTGCATATTTCTCGCTATCTCCTACTCTTCTTGTAGCTATGTAATTGTGATTTTGTGGTGGTATTGTGAATTTTTGTGTGTTGTGTAGTGAAAGTGATAGTTCAGTGACTTTGATGATTTACTTGTGTCACATGATCCATGTTTAAATCAGATTAATAAAAAATGCCATCTGTATCGCAAATTGTTATTATGATTTTTTTTCATAATTGCAAAAGTAATACAAATAAACTAAGGTCTAACGAAAGAAACCTTTCATACTGCTGAACAATTAGGATGAGCTTTATATAGACAGGAAAATAAATTTAGACATCCCTCGAACTTTTAGAGTCTCTCGCCAATAATTTTCTTAACAAAGGAATAACATTAGTATTTAACAAGGCAGTAAAGGAAGCCTTAATAAATACGGATTAAGGATTAGATGATGGCCTATCTCGCGTTTTTTATAACTTCCATATTTGACCTTTAACCCTTCCACACGAGATTAAAATGACCTAAGTCAATAAAAAAACACATTCATATTAATAAGACCAAAACCAAATTTAAGTTTAGGTATCATGACTTTTCGGTATACTACTGAGAACCCACCCCAACATCTATGTTAAAATTATGTACAACCTAAAGCGTTTTTCAGCTTGACGCCCTCGCTTCATTCAAGGTAAGAAATACACTCAGAGTATAATCACACATTCGCTATACTAGGTTAATTAAGTGGTCCGATAGGTCTGTGAGTATATACAGGGTGTCCCAGTTCCTTCTGACGAAACTCAGGGAATCGATTCTACTCTTCGTTTGGAGCAAAAAATGCTGAGGAGAAAATTTTCGGAAAGTTCTCTATTTTGAAGATATTCGTCAATTTTAGGTTTTTTCAACTTTTCACTACCTTACCACATAAAAACGCTTACAACTTCCAAAATGTTGAGTCTACAACAAATCCATTTGAAAGAACGCTAAATTTGCTGTAAGATATTCCTTTGCAATAATCTGAATGACATAAAATGCTAGCCAATATCAGTTGGAACATGTCAAATTTAAAAATTTAAAATTTTGGAAATGATTGCACGTTCTACTGAGGTTACAAAAAAATACCTACAACTTGTAAAATTTTACAAAAACTTCTTCACCTAATGTGCTTTACGTTGATATATCCAGGTTTTTAAATAACGTTCTAGTAGAGTTGAAAAATAACAATTGAATGTTCGAAAAAGTGAGCTAAGGTAAATTTGAAGGGGGGGGGTAGAAATAAATCAATTAGAACTCGCTTTGAAAAATAAAAATGACACATCTGTAATCTCACAAAAACCATACCAGAAATCTTCATACAATATAATGCAATGGTTCTTCTTGTAGCAAGCACCTAACAACAAAGGAGGAACTTTTCAGAGGAAATGCTGAAAGTGTTTTCTCTCTTCTCGAATGCATAACTGACTTTCTGAACTTCTACCCCCCCCCCTTCAAATTTACCTTAGCTCAGTTTTCGAACATTGGATATATCAACGTAAAGCATATTAAGTGAAGAAGTTTTTGTAAAATTTGACAAGTTGTAGGTATTTTTTTGTAACCTAAATAGAAACGTGCAATCATGACCAAACTTTTAAATTTTGTAATTTTGACATGTTCCAACTGATATTGGCTTACATTTTATGTCATCAGACTATTGCAAAGAAGTATCTTACAGCAAATTTAGCATTCTTTCAAATGGTGTAATTGGATTTGTTGTAATCTCAACATTTTGGAAGTTGTAAGCGTTTTTATGTGGTAAGGTAGTGAAAAGTTGGAAAAACTTAAATTGACGAATATCTTCAAAATAGAGAACTTTCCAAAAAATTTCTCCTGAGCAATTTGTGCTCCAAACAAAGAGTAGAATCGATTCCCTGAGTTTCGTCAGAAGGAACTGGGACACCCTGTATATAACGCACAGACCGTGTCCGTACACGATTAACCACTCACGCAAATAAATACATTCACACGACGTGTTTTGTTATTGTGCTAACAGATTTAAAATACAGCCATTTTTAATTTTTGTTATACTAAGAAATAAATAATAAACAATAAATTAGGAAAAATCCATATATTTTACTCAATTTAAAACTTGTTTATCAAAAATTACGCAACCAGAATCAATGCTGTTTGTCTAAAATGAAATATAAAAAGGCTGCCTCCTTCATGAATATATTCATCATAATACTTATGTAAATGATATAATTAAATGATAAAATATTATGTAATAATATTATAAATTACCTGGTCCTTTAGCGCCTCCTGACATCAGCCTCCCTAGCCGGAATATCACAGCCCGTTCGTATTCCTGAACAACCTGAAATATTTAGATTTGTTATGTATAAATATTTAGTTTTGCCATAACGAACATCCATTAAATCGCTTATTACCGTTGTGCAGTACGAGATAGATAGGTAAAATTACAAAAGATAAAATATATTATACAGGGTGATCCACTACTTTTCCGACAAAGTTCATAACGTACTTTTACAACTCAAATGCCACAAAAACCTTTTTATGAAACATGCCCGGATTCTTGACCCTTTCGCACATACTCAATATTTAGTCAACTATCTCCGGTTTTCGTCAAAAATTTACTTGTAGCTGTTGAACTATTCGTCGGTTAAAATAAAAAAGCATTGAAAAGAGTTAAATTTTCTTTAAGAAACCATCCTTCTCCAACTTTCAATTTTATTTTTGGTAAAGAACCAAACTCTAAATCTTGCAAAAACTGCTATATTTAAAATTTGTTAAAATACTTATTAACTTAATAAAAGAGCACAAAAAGAAAGAAAAATAGAACAATCGCATAAAAAAGAGATAAGAAACATTGCGAACAAGAAAAGCAGAAAAATTGTACAATAAAAGTTTAAAATTGGCAACCTCGTTGGAAAAATATACAGTAAAATTTGACCTAGTCGGTGGCAGCAAAGTTTTAGACGTTGACACGGCGCTTATTTATATTACTGTAAAGGTTGAAAATAAAAACCGATTTATAAGTATGTCGGATTCGAACCCGACATACTTACAAATCGTTTTTTTCCCTTCAAAAAAAACCGGCACCCGGATTGAATATCTTTGTTTACAAATAAATAAAAATAATTAAAATATACCTAATAAAAAACACGTTCAAAGAAAAGTTCAGTGTAAAAATGTAGCCAAACGCCTAAAAATAGGCACTAAACGTAGAGAACAACCAAAGCAGAAAAATTATGTTGAATTTTGTTTGCTTTTTTATTAGGTTATAGTTTGTTTTTGGAAGTTTTGTATTGTTTTTCTTTTTTTCTTTTCTAGTGTAGATTTTGACAAGTTTTTTTCTGATTTGATTGTTTCTTATGTTTATCGTCTCTTTCTTATGTTTTTTGTTTCATTTTTCTTTCTTTTTCTGTTTTTTAATTAAGTAAAAGTTGGTAAATAAATTGCGCCTAAGACAAAAAATTAATTAGTAGAGTAACCTCATTCCCCCCTTTTTTCTCATTTAACATAAAATTTCTGCAATTTGGTTCGATTTAACTAAAGAAAAGGGAATAATACTAGAAAGCTCAATAAACGATAAAGTTGTTATGGAATTTGTTAAGTTTTACGCTTCCCAATGAGCTTGCATATTTAGTTTTTTACAAATTTTAAATTTAGCCGTTTTTAAAAAATGTAGTGCATTTTTTTTTACCACAAATTAAACTGAAAATCGTAGAATGGTGCCTTATTAAAAGAAATATAGCTCCTTTGGCTTTTTTTTTTGGATTTCACCAAAAATGAATAGTTCAAGTGCTAGGAGTACATTTATGACAAAAACCGTAGATAGTCGAAAAAAACATAAAATGTCGAATATCGGCAAAAGGGTTGAGAATAATACTAGGATTTATAAGGACTTTTTTATTGTATTTGAGGTGTAGAATCTTAAGACCTTTGTCGTACGAGATCACCCTCTATTAAAATTTTAAACCTAATTTATTATCTGTAACTTGGAAACGGCAAAATATTCTATCCCATCATAAAATTTACCTATTGGGGGTTTCTGCGAGAATTTCCGGTTGACAAAATTTTTCCGAGCCTATTTAACAAAATTTTTAACAAATGCTTGTTGCTGTTTTTTGAAGAGTTATTTAGTTATTTTAGTTTTAATATCTGTTAAAGAGCCTAATTTGTTAGAGCTAAATTTTATTTGACTAAAGCTGTATAATGTTAACTACCTTTTATGAAACTATCACTCCTGTAACACATACACACGCACGCACAGCAGGCACATAATAGTGTTAATAATCCTAACAGCTTTCTCAATTACATCATGACTTCATTAAATGAATTAAACTCCGTATTTAAGTAATTAACCAAATTGATTCTCATGAATTTACTAGTAGAAACATGATTACATTAACGGAAAGCATTCTCTGTTAAGCCCGGGGAATTAATTCTTCAATTATTAATTTATTTTGTAACTGTAAAAAGCTGGCTTCGTTTAAAAGAAAGTAATTCTACGTTGATTATATATTTAAAGTTAAGTCGTATTTCATAAAATTTTCCGCTTTTGGGTTTGAATATAATAAAATAACATACAGTTAGACGTTATTCAATCGCCGCTTGTTACATAAAATCAAATGGTATCGATTGTAATATTATTGTAATGTGCTTTACAACGGGAAGCGGTTTATATCGTGTTGCGCCGATCCATAAATATCAAGGTTCTTTATATTTTATTAGGTTTCGTGGTCCGCTTGACCAAATAAATTCTTTTCAATTAATTAAAGGAGGGAAAATTCAAAAGGTGGGGTGCAGATGAGAAGATAGTGTCCGAGTAGATCGAAGTCACGATAGCTCAAGTGGTAGAGCAGCGGCGTATCTAGAAGAAGATCGTGGGTTCGAATCCCGCTTGTGACACTGACTTTTTATCTCAACCAAAACAATTAATTTTTAAAAAAATTTTATATTAATATTCTGATTGTTGGTAGTTGAACCATGTACACTAGAGTGTTCCGGTATTGTTTGCCATAATTTACAACTTTTGTGAACATTAAAAAAACTGATGAAAGAACTTACCACTAAACTAGAAAACTAGAAACAACGTCTGACTGACAAAACAAGCAAACTAGCAATATCGTTGTCTTATCTAAATTGAATTAATATGCAATTACAAATGTATTAAAAATTGTTTTTACCTTAAAGCATACAAACAGAGAAAAGGGAAGCGTGCAGAAAACAAGAACCCAAGAGAGGCCGGTAAGAATCGTACCGCAGATCCCCGAGTCACCGGTGTCGGCATCGTCTCCTGTAATTAAAAAAAATAATAATAATTTTTTATATGCATACTTGAGAGTGGATCTATGATCGTTTATCTATTGCATTTGGTAACGGGTGAAATACCTCCGGCAGGTAAAATGGCATTGTTATCATGATCAGCATACTTCCTGTTATGCATAATGTTCTGTTGGTAATTGCCGGTTTATTAATTCATAGGTAATTGCAAAATGTATGTAGTCCAGTACAAATATAACATACCCAGTCGCATTTCTCCATTATCAATTTCATTTTTTTTTTTTGTAAGAAAAGTAGCATTAAAGTTAGAAGTGGCAATAAATTGCACTTTATTTCCTGCCAGGAAAAATGGCAAACTGAAAGTTAAATTGTAAGTTAAACAGACAGTAAATTGCACTTTATTTTCTACCTGGACAAGTGGCAAACTTAAATTTAGTTGTAAGTTAAACAACCACTAAATTGCAGTTTATCTTATATCAGAAAAAATGGCAAACTTAAATAAATTGCATTTAATTTTATTCCAGGAAAAGTTGCAAACTTAAGCTTAACTTGCCAGTTAAATAGACAGTAAATTGCACTTTATTTTCAGTCAGGAAAAGATGCAAACATAAACTTAACTTGCAAGTTAAATAACCAATAAATTGCAGTTTATCTTATACCAGAAAAAGTGGCAAACTTAAACTTAACTTTCAAGTTAAATAGACAATAAATTGCAGTTTATGTTATACCAGAAAAAGGAGCAAACTTAAACTTAACTTTCAAGTTAAATAGACAATAAATTGCACTTTTTTATGTCGGGATTAGTGGCAAACTTGAACTTAACTTGTAGTTTAATTAAATTGCACTTAATTTTATTCCAGGAAAAGTTGCAAACATAAACTTAACTTGGAAGTTAAATAGACAGTAAATTGCACTTTATTTTCAGCCAGGAAAAGTAGCAAACTTAAACTTAACTTATAAGTTATTTGTGTAATAAATTTTCCTTTATCTTAAGCCACTAAAAATTGCAAACTTAAACTTAATTTTTATGTTAATTAAGTAATAAATTGCACTTTATTTTTGGCCAGGAAAAATAGCAAACTTAAACTTAACTTGTAGGCTAATTGCGTAATAAATATACTTTATTTTCTGCCAGGAAAAATTGCAAACTTAAACTTAATGTTCAGGTCAAATTGGCAATAAATTGCACATTATTTTCTGCCAGGAGGTTTTCTCTGCAGTCAAACCAAACATAATTTGTGCCCCGTGGTAGATATGACCTCTGCCCCCTGTCTCCTGGTCTGACAGATAAGTCAGATTTGCATATAATTATACGGTTTGCTCAATGTATATTTTATACAGATAGCAATAAATAAAATTAATTTAAAAAATACTTNTATATATATGTATATATGCAAATCCCGAACCTTATCGTGGTTTGTTTTGAAGAAAAGTTCATTCTTTCTTGGATCTTTCTTTTTATAAAAATTTGTTATCAACTTAAAGACCAATTATAAACGGGGGTAATACATAATTCGTTATTATTATTTTATTTTGTTATATTTTCTTTTTTATTAACTTCGCTTTTTTTTGGCTTATTTTAGATCAGACTATCTGATTCATTCGCCATTTCAAGGTCTAAATATTAACGTAGACAAATACGTCCTGTTTACAAACTATATTGATTCGCTTGATCAATGCTGGTCTAATCATCAATCAGTAATACTGAGTAAATTTTAAAATAGTGTAACTGGGAGAATGGAAGTCGACGTGTCGTTCGACAAAAACCAACATTGACAATTCGTTCAACCTGAACCTTTCAAGTTAAGCTGCAATCAATCATTATTTGTACAAAATACTCCGTTTTTTTTCTTTTTGCCCTATCGATCAGCACTGAGCAGCGTAAAATCGATGTTTGCTGTTTCTGACGAAAACTGTTTTATAGAAGAGGGCGAAAGCACTAATTTACCGTAATCTCTTTGATTTTGAACATTAAATAAATCAGTTTTAATGGGGCATTAGGAAAACCTTGCTTACGTCTTTACGTGAATCATGTAATACTATAAGAGGCATTTTATACGCCAAATTACAGTATAACTCTGATAATGGAAAACATTAACATCCTATTAAATGTACAACACCATTAAATATATAGAATTTCTTAATATTGGCAAGGGTTTCAATCAAATATGCAATTAAATAGACAGTAGGCACATTAATAAATTAAATAAAAAATTTCTAAAACGAAATCTAAAAGTCTCATTAAAATCTTATACGTTAAATGTCCCACCCTGCTATTAGGGGTGGTCATAAATTTTTAAACTGTTATAAGAGTCAAACAAATTTTTAAAAAAGTCAATTGCCTATGTACAATAGAAAAAAAGCTTCAGAAGTGTTCAGAAAAGAAGAAATTGAGAAATATCATTGATATTTATCAGATTTTATTCAAGGTTGTTATTTAGATTAAAAACTAACAAAGTTAGACCTTTTATAAATTTGTAAAAAAAAAGCCAACACCATTAAAATTAAGTAAAGTATGAAAAATGTGTTTTCCTATAAATTTCCCATTCACTTTATGATATAATCTTTACATTCGTAATATTTTGGCCTTTGTACCAGCGCAAACATTTAAACGTTTAAGCTACTGCTTATGGCTTGTGTGCACAAATTCCTGAATTTTTTTAATATAAAAACCCATCTAATAAACTTTAAACTCCAAAAACTTACTAATTGCCAAGAATATATATAAATTACAACAAGAACCACCGTTAGACAATATTTTACGTCTAGTGACACCGTACTTACAGCTGATTGACCACAAGCTTGATACTCTACCAAGCTATTAAAAATTCGCTGGTCAATAACATCGACGTTTCGGTCGGATATTCTCTTCAATTCGATATATTTTCAAGCCTAAACGACTAAAAAACATGATTAAAAAAAGTGGCAGCGTCGAATTGGCACAGTAGATCTTACGTATAAGAGCAGTGTCGATGGGTGGCCCATGGAGGGTATAACTCATCGAAAAAGGATCATTCTCACCCGATTAAGGATAGGCCATGCGAGGTTGATACACAGATATTTACTTTTGGGCCAAATCCAGCATATCTGACATGCAAAGAAAAGTTGCCCGATGTGTCCCAGTCGAAAGGTACAATAGAAATGAGAGAAATGATAAATGATGGAGTGAGTATGGTGTTCAATACTTTTTAAAAGGATAGTTCCTACTCACAGTAAGTTGTTTTTGCAACGACCCGGATTTCGAGCCTTTTAGCTCATCATCAGGTTGAAGAACTTTTACAACCACGTCTCTCGACATGAATTGCCAAAGTGAACCGCTGATAAATCCGCCAACGCGACGTTCCAATTAGCAGCTGATTTTTTTAATGACGCTCAATTTGAAAGTGCGAAACGCGGAAATTATAACACAAATAAATATTAGAATAATAAATACTTAATATTACTATAAATTACTATAAAAATAATAACAATTAAAATAATTAGATTAATTATTTGTATGTTTGATATTATTTATGTACATAATTAAAATGGGAGGTAGATCAAAATCTGTTATATTATTAATGCATTTATCACCATGTTCAATTTTACATTTTTTAATTTCAAATTTCTCAAACCAATCTAATTCTTTCCCTTTGTTGAAACTATGTGACACTCTTGTTAGGTTGGCCCTTGGAGAACAAATAACTATTATTTACTATGCTAACATTTTATTCGTACGAATCCTCAATTACTCAATAATTTTATATTTAAACATTAATTGGAAAACACTGCAGATAAAATATGACAACAGGTGCTTAATAAGGTTCACTTTATTATACTACAAAAAAATCTATATTAAAAGATAATGAACAATTTATTATCTTTACAATTACAACTACAAGGTGTTACAGTTCCCCCAAAACTATTCTACGAAAATCCTTTATCCTATACTTTTTAAAAGGATAGTTCCTACTCACAGTAAGTAGTTTTGCAACGATCCGGATTTCGAGCCTTTTAGCTCATCAGGTTGAAGGACTTCTACAACCACCTCTCTCGACATAAATTGCCAAAGTGAACCGCTGATACCTCCGCCAACGCGACGTTCCAATTATCAGCTGATTTTTTTAATGACGCTCAATTTGAACGTGCGAAACGCGGAAATTATAACACAAATAAATATTAGAATAATAAATACTTAATATTACTATAAATTACTATAAAAATAATAACAATTAAAATAATTAGATTAATTATTTGGATGTTTGATATTATTTATGTACATATTTAAAATGGGAGGTAGATCAAAATCTGTTATATTATTAATGCATTTATCACCATGTTCAATTTTACATTTTTTAATTTCAAATTTCTCAAACCAATCTAGTTCTTTCCCTTTGTTGAAACTATGTAACACTCTTGTATTTAAATTTGAATTGAAATTATGTTTTGTTTCTTTTAGATGGTCCTTAAATTCCGAAAATTTGCTCGATTTAGGCAAGTGTTCTTTTACTCTTGTTTTTATTTCTCTACCGCTTTGTCCTATATATTTAATATCACAATCATTACAATTGAGTTGGTAAACCCCACTTTTTGCCAAGTTGTCTACTTTGTCTTTAGGTTTTGAGAGGATGTTTTTAAGTGAACCCGTACTTCTAAAAGCTATTCTAAAACCTTCTTCTTTAAAAATTTTACTAACTTTTTGCGATAATTCACCAATGTATGGCAAACAACGGAAACCTAATGATTCATTTGTGGTGGGGTGGCTGAGATCTATTGTTGATTCGTTTAAAGTTAATTTTTTTATTCTTTTAACTATCAATAAATATGTTTTGATACCCGTTGTTTTTTGCTAAGGTTTTAATAGTTTTTAATTCTTTTTTATAGTTATCAGGTGTTAGCGGAAATTTTAACCAAATGAAACCAGCAGCCTTTTGGGACCATGGGTGGGAAGAATCCGCTGGTAGCATAGTGTCTGTAGTTGTGGGTTTTCTATATACGCCTATTTCTATTAGGTTGTTTATTATGGATAGTTTT